GACCCTACTGCAATTAAAGAAGATATGGCCCCACCAGGTTTTAAAATAATTCAATACTGCTAATCAGACCATCGTGGAGGAGGCGTCTACCTGCCTGTCTTATGAACGTACATCGGCTAAACTAAATCTGGCAAATACTATCTACAATATTGTTGCTATTTATCGATCAAACCCAATCATTCCAACAAACATTTTTTTTTGAATTATCTGAACTCCTAGAGGAACTTTACACATTATCTGGAGAAATACTTCTGTGTGGTGACTTAAACTGCCCAGGTACTATTTCAATAACCTGCAATTCAAGACTTGATGAGATTTTAGAGACCTACAACATGATACAACGAATTCTCCAACTCGCATATCATCTACTGGTATAGCAAACTTATTTGATCTAGTAATAAATCGACATGATGATATTTCACTCAAGAATATCCAAGTAACTGACGAGTGTATTTCAGATCACTATATGATTCGGGTAGAACTTTATCATCAACCTTCAAATTCTAAAACTGTTTTGTTTTCAAAAGGAAATTTTAGAAATCTAAACTTGTCATGCTTTATAAAAGAAATGCAAGTGATGTCATGTTGCTTATCACCTAAAAACAACGTGTATGATTATGCTGAACAAACAAGATCAAGTATGAAAACTGTTCTTGATCATTTAGCACCCATTCAAAAATATTCAATGCGAGTAAACATGGTAATAAATGGTTATCTTTAGATGCCAAGAATAAAAAAATTAGACGTCGTAAACTGGAGCTTTGTTATAGAAAAACTGATAGTTTATCAGATAAAAAATTATATCGAACTGCATTCCGTGAGATAGCAATTCACAAATCCAGATGTAATCATTATAAGGCGAAACTAAATTCAGTATACGGTGATCAAAAGGAAACATGGAACATTGCCTAGAAATTACTACATTTAAATAGTTCTAAAACTAATAACCAGAATCAAAATGCGATATAATAAGTCAATAATTCATACGCAAACTCGAAATTATAAAGAACACTATCCAGGAAAGGCTTGCAAAAACCTCTAAATTTATATATCTTTTTATAATTTATAATATCTAAATTTATCTAAGAGTTATCTCCCCCTGTTACTCTTTCTCCCACAGTTAAACCTAAGACATCGCCACTTGATATTATTCCAACTAACATCCTTAAAACTTGTTCAGAAATATTCAGTCCAATTATAACTCGCCTTGCTGACCTCTCATTAAAATCCAGAATTTACTCAGCCTCATATAAAGTTGCTCAAATAACATCAGTTCCCAAAAAATCAGGACCAGCATAATTTGACCTAACAAATCTACGCCCCATATCAAATCTCAATACAATTTCGAAAATTCTTGAAAAGCTTGCTTTATCTTGTCTTCATCCACACGTAACATCATCTGTCAACTTCAATCCTCTACAATCTGGTTTTAGATCTTATCACTCAACCGAAACAGCACTCTTAAAGATATGCAACTACATCCTGCTAAATATTGATGATGGTTTGACCACTATTCTCCTATCTTTGGATATATCTTCAGCATTTGATACAATCAATCAAAGCCTGGTGATTACCCGTATTAAGAATTTGGTGTCACAGATATTGCATTAAAATGGCTAACATCATACTTGCACTCTCGGAAATCTTTTGTTTCTATTGGATCATCAAATTCTAGACTAATAGCAAGTTCAACAGGTGTACCACAGGGTAGTGTATTAGGCCCATTTCTATTTTCCATGTTTGTTTCACCTATATATCGTGTTATAGCTAAATTTGGTACAAATCATCATCAATATGCTGATGATACCCAACTTTATACTTTCCTCAGCTCTGGAAAATATAGCATCAAAAAAACCACTGAGTGTGCTAATGGTTTCTAGAAAATGGATTTCTGTTAATCCAAATAAAACAAAAGCAATTTCATTTGGATCTAGAAAACAAACTAGCAAATATAAAAATGATTCGAATATTGCGTTTTCTGGAACCACAATAACTACAATAAATTCAGTAAAAATCCTTGGAGTCACCCAAGTTTCAAAGCTTTCTATGGACAAGTACATAAACAATATAATTAAATCCTGCAATTACCACATTCGTGCACTTCGCCCCATTCGTCCATGTCTGACCAAAGAAGCCGCAAACATAATTGCTTGTGGCATCATTAGCTCTCAGCTTGACTATTGTAACAGCATTTTATCTGGCACTTATCAAAAAAATCTTTAAAAACTCCAACGAATTCAAAATAACTCGTATTGTTTTCCATACTCCATTTCATTTAAAATCAGAAATATTGCTGAAATATCTTCATTGGTTACCAATACATCAAAGAATAATCTATAAAATATCAGTTATAACATATAAAATTTTTTTATCAAAATCTTCTGCATATTTTTTTGAACTCCTAGAAGTCCGAACTTCAAAACAAAATACAAGATCATTAGACAGTTGCCAACTTACACGTCGTCAACAAAAAACCTCCCTGGGCTCAAAATCTTTTTGTATGACTGCACCTCGAATTTGGAATGGTTTATCTTTGAACACGCGAAACTCAACTTCCATAGAAACATTCAAAAAAAGACTAAAATATCAACTTTTTATGAACTCATTTTCAGACACATAGTTTACTTGTTTAGTGCTTCTGAATTGCTTCATCGCTATTGTGATTCATGTAAATAATATATATATATATATATATATATATATATATATAATATATATATATATATATATATATATATATATATATATATATATATATATATATATATATATATATATAGTCTTGCATGGTAGTCACAAAGTTTTTCCCATAAACTGTTGTTTTAAAGAGCGCGTTAATAAGCCTGACCAGAAAATGTTAAAAATACATTTAAACATCTTTAAAGAGGTTTTATCCGAGTTGTATTTTGCAGGTTTGTAGGGTGTTTACAATATGCATCATAAAGTCAAAACTGCCTATTTTTAACTTAAAGTCTTTTCCCAGTATACCCACGATATATACTTCAACGAAGTAGGTCGGAACCCTCAAAATAGGAAAGGTCACCGAGTATTTGTTGCATCGGCCGAGCGTTTAGCAGAATATTCGGCAAAACTAATATCTATGACATCTCTAGTTATAATAGTATATGCTTTTGTTTTTACACGAACAAGCAAAAATAAAAGATAGGAATGAATAAAAAATAAATAAAGGATAGGATATGAAAAGATAAAAGAATTTTAAGATTTTCACTCGATTAATCCTTTTTTATTAGTCGACTTTAAGTCGAAGTCGATATAACAACATAAACTATAAATGAAAGAAAAAATCCGTATATTTAAAACAATAAATTTTTTGGTTAGGAATGTTAACCCTTCAATCAATCTGCTACAGAATTTTTTCAAAATTGAAAAGGTTTAAGATAATTCAGAATTGTCATTGCCCATAACAAAGCAGCAAAATATTTTTAACGAATTAGAACTATTTTTCTTAATTTATAGAGATTATAATAATAGATTTATATATATATATATAATACATATATATATAAATATATTATTTATTAATAATTTCTTCAGAATTATATAAGTTTACAAAAAGATAAATTTAAAACTTTAAATTTGAAAGGGGATATAACTAATGAAAGATATCTTCCTGATTCCCTAATTTTTAAATTGATATATATTAAAATCAGGGCTGTGAAGTCGGAGTTGCAACATTTATAGCGGAGTCGCTAAACATAATCGCGATACCGGGAAATTTTACCAATGGTAAAATTTCCCGGTATCACACGTGCATGTGCAAAACATTCAATTAACTTTATGTTCATACTAAGCCTTAAAGAACGTTTCTTAAATTTGTCAAAATAATAATTATCGCGTAATATTTTTTTAAGAATTCAAAGAATTTTTCAAACATGCTTTGGAGTTGTGCTCAAAAAATTTCAACAACTGGAGTCGGAGTTGTACTCAAAAAATTTTAAAAAGTTGTACTCAAACAACTGGAGTCAGCATTCGTTACTTTTATTTTTTACGACTCCACACCCAACTTAAAATATTAAAACAAAATTTAACAATTGACACTTGAGCTCAATCGGAATTGTGCAATTTCGAAAGATCACAAAGGTTTTTTGTTTGTTTGGTTTTAGAATTTTATTGCGCCTAAATGAAAATCATATTTCTCTCAATCGAATCACTTCAATTGCAATTTTGTTAATGGCTTGATTCACCAATACGCAATTCTTATAGTAAGGTAGCGATTAACTCTCAATGATTTATCAATGTAAACCCAATTTAAGTTATTAATTAAGAATGGAGCTAATCCAACACATATCTTATATATTCTAATAGCTATTTGATACTCTTGGCCTAACGATAACAGATTCTATTTTTTTTAGGATTGGTCCTGTCTGTAACTTGTTGGGACCAATAATCCATAGAGCTTTTTTTTGTAAAGACTTAAATAGCATAATTTCTTTTTTTTTTTACTGTTTTCCCAAATACCAACACCATATATTAGATGGCTTCTAATTAAAGCATTGTATAAAACAACTTAAAATTTAATATGTAATGGCTTGCTAGCTTTTATAAATATGTGTGTATATATATATACACACATACATACACACACATATTTATATAGTAAAACTATAAATATTTTAAACCATAAAAATATCTTTTGCTTGCCTAAAGAAGCACGAACAACCATTAACACAAATATTTAATATAAAAATGACATGATTTAAATATCCACAAGTATTATAACTAAAATGGTAATTCTGTGCACTATTTATTCGGAAAAAGCTACGGGAAAAAAAAAAAAAAAACAGTAAATGTAGCGACCTATTAAAGTTGAGGTTTAAAAATGTAAGGTTTGAGTTATATATTTTGAAATATCACTATTAATTTTTTCGGTACCAAAGAGTAAAACAACTATTCATTACAGGTACGAGATATATGACCATAAGTTTTTTCACTCAGGATTAACTGTAATAAACTAGTTGGCAAAAGACAACTAAAAAAAATTATTAAAAAACTACTGCTAATATAAAAATATAACAAACAAAAAGTAGCCGATGCTTGAATCTTCCTTTCAATTATCTAAAAATTCCACGATCCTGATGCACGATGCATCGAATTCTGAAAGTACATTATAACTAAAACAGTAATTATTGCACAAAGGCGATTTGATAAACAAAATCGTTTATGAAATCAGAGCTAAACGTTCTTCTTCCTCGCGGTGATTTTTACTTGCTAGGTGCATTTTATAAGGCTGGGGTCCATTCAATGTTTTATCACAAATTTCACAATAGAATCGTTTTGTTTCTGCAGTTGATTTCAAATCAGAGCTTTGAGTAGCTGTTTGATTTGATTGATATGCTGAAAAGAACGAAAATAGAAAAAATAACGTATTTTAATTTAAAATTTTTTTAAAAGTGCAGACGAATGTTTATATATATATATATATATATATATATATATATATATATATATATATATATATATATATATATATATATATATATATATATTAGTGATGTGCCGAGTACCCGGCAATTCGGCTGTTTTACCGGGTACCCGGTATCGGCCATTTTGTTGCAGTACCCGGCACCGGGTATCTTCAAATTGATTTTTCCTTTTGTTTAAACTTTAACCATTAAACTTCTTGATATAAGTGTAAGAGTGTTATGTAGTCGATAACCACAAAGTTCTATTAACTTAAAACAATCTCACTTAAAATATTTTTTAATACATTTCTGCAAAAAAATTTATACGGATACAAAAACTGTAACGCTAAATGAAATAATTCGAGAATACGAATAAAAAGAATGGGAAAAAAAGTTTTTTCCCATTCACACACGCACACACACATAAAATCAATATTTTCACAATAACGATACATCATCGGCTTTATGTTAAGATTTAATCTCATATAGTTCGTAACTTGATTTAATAAATTATAAACTTAGTAATACACACTAAATGTCCATATTATTAAATCCCCTGTACAAGTTTTTTTATTTTGAATTAAGACAATTTGCAGTTTTTATTCAATATAAAAAATAAAGTAAAAAAATTCATAACTTACTAGAAACGTAAGGTTTTATTTTACGCGGTTCGTTAAGAATTTTATTATTAGCTTCCATATCTAACTCAGTATTTTCCATAAGACGTTTGTTTTCTAACCAAGGTAAACTCGTTAATTTTTCCTCTAGAATCTAAAATTTTTTATTTTTTTAACTTGATTTTTAAAACAAATAAAAACTCAACTTAATTTTTAGACTTACCAAACAGTATTTTGCAGGAACATAACCAACTTGTCCTTGGGTGTTTTCAACTTCCCACCAATGAGGGTTAGAAGTTGGAATGTGCGATTTTTTGATTAGATAAAGCTTTTCCCCTTGTTTAATTGTTAGTTCAACAAATCCGCCTGACTGTAAATCATCTGCTTTGTAGCTGTATTTAGCCATTAGCTCTGGTAATGCTAAATGCGTAAAATATTTTGTTTAAACACAAAACTTGACTATTAATTTGTCTTCGTTTTATTAATTTAACAAAATAAAGACAAATGATTTTTATAACTACTCAGTTGAAGAAAACTTTGCAAAACAAATAAGACTTCGAAACAGTCTCATTTGTTTGAAAGTATAAAATGAATATTAAGCAAATTTTTGCATCATTTATTATGCAACTAGGAATCAAAAATTAATACCTGGTTTAACTTCAACCACGGAATCAACTGAGTTAAGTAGACTTTTTTGCAAATTGGTATTTAACCCTATTGGCTTCGGACATGGCTCATGCGAATTTAGGGCCAAAACTCCACGTCCACGTCCATTTCTATAAATGTACTTTGTTTGTGACATACACTGCTCTAAGAAAACCAAATCAAGACAAAATATTAAATATTTTTAGAAGCAAATTAGTTAAGTTAATTGCAAACGCTCACAATTTTTAATATATTCATAAACATAAAATCACTAAAAAATTCAATAACTTTTTTCTCGATAACAACATAACAACGAAAAAACTATTTATCTATATATAACTAACACGTAAATAACAAATTCACTTTATACTAATTTTTTTTTTTAAATATTAGACTTGTTTTATCAAAGCAATACTAAAAACATACTGGAAAATGTTCCAAGAAGAGAGATATATAAACATTAAAAAATTTTTAATTACTTTTTGTTCTGATTTCTCTAAACACTTAACATTTTATTGTAATTATTTTATTAATTTAAAATGATTATTTCATATAAAAGATCGCAGAAAATGACCAGTTTAGTCCAACTCAGAACTATTTTAATAAGATCTTAAAGTTAAAATACACAAAAATGGGCCAAATAACTGTAAGCAAAGTAGCAAAGTAGAATAGTTAAATAACAGATATAAAGGAAGAAAATTAGTTGAGTTATACCATTTGAAGATTGCTAAAATTTGTAACAATTTACATAACTGTTAGGAAAAATAAGTCTTTATTGAAAAATAAGTCCCTATCTATATCTTCATTAGTTTCTATTTAATATTATTGTTTTAAGCAACAAAATTCTTATAGACCCTATATTTTTTTATAGCACTGTATATGCATAGGTATATAGTAATAGATTTTTTTGTTTGCAAAATTTCACTAAACTTAGGTAATACTATGTTATCAAAATTTTAAAGTTACTTGGATATAAATTATAAAACATCAAAAACAGCATCGTACTAATTTTTCTGAATAATATATATATATAAATTATAAAGTTATTGGATATCATGAGCTGAGAACCAAGAGGTGTATGTCCACATTTTATATTTTTTCTGTTTATTGTTGATAAATATTCAACAATCAATGGAATGCGTCCAAAAAATCCATTCACAAGAATAATACAACTTTTTAAAATATTAAAAAAAATTAGTGGCAGAAAGTTCTTACAAATTAAATTTCTATATATCTCTGGCAAATTTTTTATAAATTAAATTTCTTAAATTTGTTTTCTCGGTAACACAATAAATGGACATAGGGCCTCTTGGTTCTTGGCTGATGATATATATTTTAGAATACTTTAGATGATCTACTCATAAGAATTTAAAACAAAGTTAATCAGACAGTATGAATACTTGACACTTCATTTGTATAAATACTCTTGTAAGTGAATTTGTCATCATATTAACCATCTAGATTTTTAATATAAAAATATGCAAATTAGTTAGTATTTTATAAACAAAATTAAATTTTAGAAGCTATATAAAATGTATGTATATATGTTTATAGCAACATAGATACCAAATAATAACAAATGTTTAATAGTTGTTTATTTAACAAAATAGCTTTCTCCATCCTCTAACATATACATAATTTAAAACTTTCTTTGTGGCACGCACTACTATAAGAAATAAAAACAATCAAATTAAATGAATAACACTTGTTACTCTAGAATGATAATCAGACAGTATGAATACTTGAAAAGTCATTTGTATAAATACTCTATCAAATAAAAGTCATCAAATTATCAAGTATATCAAGGTTTTTAAATAAATAGCAGCAATTTTAATAGACTTAATAAATAAACAACAGTTCAAAAAGTTCAAATCTAAATGTAAATGTAATGCTTAAGCTTTATACCACTTTACAAAGTATTACAATTTGCTAATCACATGTGTTTCTATATATATTATTAAAATTAACGTCTGAATTCAAATATATTTTCATGAATTTTAACTTCTCTGAACTTAGTAATAAAGAATAATTGAAATATTAATCTTGTGTATGAACACTATTTTCTATAATATTTTTTGTCAATGGTAAGAAATAACTTAAGTCTAAACTTATCAGTAATTAGTGATAGTAATTGCTAATAAATAATAGTTACTAATATATAAATACATATATATCGATACCTTAATATGCAAATTGCTTGTCCAAGTGATTTTAAACCTAATACCTTAATATGCAAATTGGCTAACTCTATTTTTTAAAATTTTTGTTAGACAACAAAACTTATTTATTTACTGCAAAAAAATATTGCAATATTGTTGGTATTCCTATTATTGACGAATAACTCTCTCTTAATCTCGTACAAAGTCTAAAAGTACATTGTAGATGTAATCAAACCTGCTTTATCTGCCAAGCTTGGACTGAAAATAGCTCATTTTTAGCCAAGTGTGTGTGTATATATATACACACAAAACACACACTTTAATTAAATATTATATATATACAACCCTCAAAATTAAGGTCAGCATTCAGCATAGCCGACCTGAAAATGTTTGAGGTCAGCTAAAAACTACTGACCTCGTTTATATGTTTTATGGTAATAAGTATTTTTACAGAATTTCTTAAAAAAAAAGAAAAAGTTAACTTTAATCCAAATTAACAATGGTGTCTTTAATACAAAATTTAACAAGTAGTCTAAGACACATTAATGAATGTATATGAATGAATGAGATATCTAGATACCTTTTCACATTTATTACAGCAAATGTGCTTTAAAAAAAAAAAAAGATTTTAACAACGATAATCAGACAGTATGAATACTTGAAAAGTCATTTGTATAAATACTCTTTCAAATAAAATGTCATCATATTAACCAATAAAAGTTTGTAAGATTAGTTTCAACAAACCTTTTTTTTAGAACATCAATCAAAAACATATCAATAAACGCACAACATACACATAATAAACATATTAGAGGTTTAATCACCTTTTTATTATCTTGACACAATTTTATCAAACTTTTGACAACACCATATAAGAGATTACCTAAGATAAAAAAACGATACAATTATATATCATTTCGACAATTAACACATATTTAGATTTACATTCTAACCCCCCCCCCTCAAAAAAAAAAGACATCTTGTGTTTTTAAAAAATATGCCACATACTATTTATCTAATCTAATACAATCTTGACAACATGATGATGTTGAGTTTTTGAATAATTTACTTAAAAACTTTCCCATATTTTAAAAACACTTTACCAACAGTTAGATCTTTACATGAAAAAATATTCCCAACCCACAAGTCAACATTTATTTCAATTTTACATTAGCAAGTAAAAAAATATTTTGAAAAATTTTATAGTACATTCTAATTTGAAATTATGACTAAGATTTCATATATAACAAAACAACACGCATGAAATGTTGCTGAGAACTTCATTTTATAATACATATTTGTGTAAATGAAGATTGATCAATTTTGTTAAATTTTTATAGTGCCAACTTTATGCACTTTTTGCTTCAATAAACTCATTATATATCATTAGATATTATCTGCCTAAACCAACAGTACTGAAGCCCTAACAGAAAGAATTTTTTTTATGATATCATCAGTGACGTTTCATGCGCAGCTAAACCCCCATTTGTGTGTGTGTGTGTATATATATATATATACATTTATTTACACCCACCCTAATATATTCACTAAAAATATATCCACATCATTATGAAATAGTAGTACAACACATTTATAAAAAATTGGAATTGTTCAAGTTTAATTGAGAAAATAATACCCTGAATTATTACTCTTCTAATCTATTTTTTTGTTGTTGTTGACTACTAAGTAGCTTAAGCTATAATAAAAAGACATATCTTGAATAAAATGTTTATTTGGTCAAACTATTTACAAAGTAAGATTAAAGCATATAATTCCTAAATAAACAGCAAATACTAAGCCATAATCAGAATTGAATTTTATTTAAGCACTAGATGTTTAAACAATATTAAATTTAATCTCCATTTTCTTTTGTAGAGGAACCACGGGACCTAGACCGAGATCTAGATCTGCTAGCACTACGAGACTTTCGGGGACTAGCTGATCTACCAGGAGAGTATGATTTACGAGGGCTATGAGAAGGTGAACGCTTTACTGGACTTCTAGAAACACTTCGTCTCCTTCGTGGGCTTCTAGAACGAGATCTAGAAGAGTATCTGCGTCGACGTCTAGAAATTATGATTCATTTTAGAAATAAATAAAATCAACAATATTCCTCTATATTTATTATTTTAATTAAAAATTTAAAATAATCTTTATTTTTATAATTGTTCCCTTTAATTGAACAGTTACTGAAGTATAGATAAATAGTCTTTCACAGGAAAAGGTGTGATCACACGTCTTTATATGACCACGCCAAAAATAATATGTTTTGACAATTAGACCATGGCTTTCGACATTTTCAAAATGTCAAAGTTTAAAAATGTGCTACAAAAAATTACCTAGAAAAAACATCCACAAAAAAAATTTTTTAAGAAAAATGAAAATAAAAAAAATAATTCAAGCAAAAACACACACAAAAAAAAACATGTACATATATATATATATATATATATATATATATATATATATATATATATATATATATATATATATATATATATATATATATATATATATATATATATACACACACTTACTAAAGCGTGTTTTGATAAGCATTTGCTCACTTTTTGTGCTTACTTCAAGGTAAACCGTTTTTTTTGAAAAAGAAGAAGAAAAAAACGAAGAATGATAAATAAAACGATTGCTTTCCAATCCCAAACCCTCAGTCGATGTAGCAGCACTTCACTACGAGTCAGGCTATTTGTCAGTCATTGTATGTACTGAAGCCCCCAGCAGCCGACTATCTTAGTATGACGTCAGATTGCTTACCAAAGTACGCAATACTATTTGTATATATATATATATTTTTTTTTATAAAAAAACATGTACAAATATATATATTTTTTTTATAAAAAAACATGCACAAATATATATATATATATATATATATATATATATATATATATATATATATATATATATATATATATATATATATATATATATATATATATATATATATATATATATATATATATATATATAACCAAACTAAAACCAAAACTCATCAAACTAAAATGCTTAGTCCAAGGGTTGAATTAAGGCATTGCGATTTGCGATATCTGCGAAATTATCTGCTCTTCAAAGTTTCAGTTTATGGAAAACCACGAAATTTACGGAATAGGCGAATAAACTTTAATTTGTTAGTGAAAATGTTATGAAAAACAAAACAAAATAAACTTATGACTACAAAAGTAATAATACTACAGTCTTGTTTCTTTTATAACACTCTTTTATGTTACATTTATAGTTTATTGTTTGATCAAACAACACTTAATCAAGCTATTATAAATAAAAATGATTTAGATAAGTAATTCCAAACTTTAATTAAAGTAGTAATGCATCTAAATAATACAATGGATATTTAAACAATGTTAAAAATCTCAACAACTTTTACGAATACATATTTTTAGAAACAGTTTAGCATTTCTAAACATCTTACTAACGGTCGGGAAAAAACGGGCGTTCACTTTAAAATCAACAAATGAAAACACTGATAATTTACTTCTTAGGAGAAATCTATATTTAAAGAGGGGGGGGGGGGGGGAAGGAGGCTATAAACTTGAATTTTATAAGCGCTGGCTATTAACCCATGCATTTAAAAATATATGCAAGTCCTACGTACCACTGGATTAGAGAGAGACTTGAAAGCTTAAAAATAGGACACTTTTTATCTGCTACCGCCGCCCCTCCCGCAGTTTCGCCACTGAGAGTAGCACTGACATTTACTTAAAACTAAAAAACAGAGGTGTTCAATTTAATAAATTTTAGTTATAAAGAAGTATATTTAGAAGTCTTCCCCCCCCCCCCTCTTTAATATAGATTTCTCCAAAAAAATATACCAGTGTTTTCATTTGTTGATTTTAAAGTGAACGCCCGTTTTTTCCTGACTGTTAGTAAGATGTTTAGAAATGCTAAACTGTTTCTAAAAATATGTATTTGTAAAAGTTGCTGAGGTTTTTAACATTGTTTAAATATCCATTGTATTTTTTTTAGATGCATTACTACTTTAATTAAAGTTTGGAATTACTTAACTAAATCATTTTTATTTATAATAGCTTGATTATGTGTTGTTTGATCAAACAATAAACTATAAATGTAACTTAAAAGAGTGTTATAAAAGTAACAACACTGTAGTATTATTACTTTTGTAGTCATAAATTTATTTTGTTTTGTTTTTCATAACATTTTCACTAACAAATTAAAGTTTATTCGCCTATTCCGTAAATTTCGTGGTTTTCCATAAACTGAAACTTTGAAGACCAGATAATTTCGCAGATATCGCGAATCGCGATGCCTTAATTCAACCCTTGTAGTCTATTTAATTTACGCATTAAAAAAACCATTTCAACCTTTGCTTTAACATTTGTCCCATATTTTATTTATTTAATCTTTCAAAAGATGAATATTTCTCATAAAAAATACAATTATATAAATAAATTTAAAAAAAAAGAGAGAAAAGTTTATTAATACTTATTTTAAAAATTAATTAGAAGTGTGTTCATTAAAAAAAGTTTATATATTAAAATATTTAAGATCAACCCTATTTAATTTTTTTTTGCTTTTTTTTCCCCAACAAAATTAGTTATCTTTTTAAATGTATTAACATTAATAATTCTTATATTAAAATTCGTTAAAGAGACTTTTGTTGTCATAGAGTGTGATTGTATAAAAACAAAACAATTTTTTATTTTTTAATAACTTTTATTATAGAAATGCAAACTTAACCCGTTAACTACCCATGCTGTAATATTATGCTAACTAAAAGTGGTTTCTAAATGTCCATGCCGTAATATTACGGTAATTATACATCTACTTGTCACAAAAGTTATTACTAGATAACTGCAGAGCATTTGTTTCAATAGTTGTATTTTAAATGTGTTCAATTTGATTTTAAATATGAGAAATAAGGAAGTTCTTTCAGTGCAAAAATAATTATCAAATAGTAAACATTTACTCAAGAAAAGATAGAATTTTATACATTTGATGAATCAATAACGAAAAGATATATTCAATGAATGATTATTAAAAATGTTAATAAAAGATTAATGTTTAAATGTGGTGTGTTACAAACACAATATTCAAAAAGGTTCAGGATATGAATATGTATTTTATTATCATACAAAAAGTGAATATTAGTGAATGCATTTTTTAAAATTTAATGTTTATGTTGTATGATTTATACATTCTTAAACTTAAATAATTACATTTTGTAATTATTAATGTTAAAAATAGTAATAAACATTTTTTAATCTAATAGTTAAAAAACATGGTGAGTTTAAAAAATAGCTGGACTAATAACAACCGGACTAATAGCAATTTTAATAAAACACGGGACTGTTAAAGGGTTAAACAGTTTATATATTAAAAGTTAAAAAATATATACAACTGTCAATTATATTTAAAAAAAAAAAAAAACATCAGTAAATTGTTACTTTATTTAAAAGCGTTTTGCTGACATAAAAACATTTGTTAAGAAGTTTTGATGTAATTAATTTCACTTTTTCAAAATATTTTTTATTTAGCACATTTTTTAAAGTTTTTTTAGAAATAGCGGCGGTCAAGTTGTCATAACATAATGCAATTTGCGTGGTCATATAAAAATTGCACGCCTTCCTGTTCAAGACTGAAATACTACAATAAAATTTCCTAAAGTTTGTTTTTTTTATTTTATGCATTCCAAAACAAAATTACCTAGGTGACCTTGACCTGCTGCGACTTCTTGAATATCGACCTCCCCTACGTCTAAAATAAATAAATTCATACATATATTTACCATTTAAATAAGCATAAGCTTTTATTCTTATTAGTTAAAATCTTAACAGTTTACCCTCCAAACCTGCCATTATCTGAATAAGAACCAGTGGATTCTCGAGTTCTCATTTGACCAGGTGCTACAAAAAATTAAAATAAAAGTTATATTAAGTTATCAAAACATTCTAGCTTTGACTTTCTACTTTGAACTTATAAACTTTTAACAACAAAAATTAAACTTAAAATAGATAAAATAATTTACTGTGATGTAATAGAAATTTTATTAAACAAACCAATAATTTACTTAATAAACTTGCGTTTTTTAAATTTAATTTTTAGCTTTAATTGTAACTTCTATTTGCTTATCTTTGTATGTTAAGGTAATTAAGAATTTTTTTTTAAAAATTTTGAATATACTTTTTTTTTTCTTTTTGTAGGCGAAACCAGTGAATTTTTGTAATACTAACCTGTTACCAAAAATTTTGAATTTAAAATTTCCTTGAAAGTTGTTTACTCACTTTTTCTATCTCCTTCAGCATATTGAATATCAAGTTCTCGCCCATGCAACCTTGCGTGAGATTCATGATATAAAGCATCTTCTGCATCTCTAATGTCTTCAAATGTGTCAAAAGTTAAAGACAGAACTTTATACAGCCGCTTTTTAACAAAAACTTAATTTAAAAAAAAAAAAAAGACAAAAAAATACTGATTAAAAATTACTGAAATATTAAAAAAACCAACAGAGATAGTTGCAACAAATTAACCTTGTTAAATTGTTATTAAAGTGTTTTAGCAACAAAAGATTAAAAATTATTAAGTTTATCTTTCAATAAGTAAACTTATCACCACTCCCCTCTCTAAGTATAAATACACAAATTTATTGACACACCTCTATTGTTATTTATATTTCCTAGTAATTTTTAATGTTTTTTAAAAATAATTTAAACAATGTTTTAAAATATATTACATTTACAACTTTAGTTAATTATATTACACAACTATTATTTAATTTTAAAAACTAGAACAAACATTTTCTTATGGATTTTGAATCCATTAAGTAGTCTTTCTTTTTAAAAAGTTTTTAGTTAAATATTTATTAGTACTTCAAGCCAAAAGTTACAAAACAAAATATTTTAAATATTAGAGATTTTAAAAACAATTACAAAACAAAAGTGATGACGTATTGTGTTTATATGATTGTTGGCCATTAAAAACTATATATACTAATGTTTATAACCAATTTTGCAAACATTGCCAAAATAAAAATTGCATAGTTTTACTTAAAAACACATTTGCCGATAGAAATTTATATTTAAAAACAATATCAACCTGAAATTGTATAAATTTTAAAGCGGCAACAATTACACAAGCAAATTAAAAAATGCTTGTTGGTAACGTAAATAATCACAATTTCTGCCAAGATTAACAATAAAATTTTTTTTTTCCTTTTTTGAATGATTAATTATATTATATTAAATTCAAAAAAAAAATCATACACAAAACTCTATTGGTAATAAAATCTTAATTCCTGTGAAAAAAATTTAGATTGTTCAAAATTAGATTGTTTACCCTGTATATCTTTATAAAATTATTCAATGAATAGAAATAACCATTAGAAATGTACAAACTACATTAACAGACTAATACAAAAGTACAACTTATAATTTGATTAAGTTTTGGGTCAATAAAGTAGCTACATAATCATTCTAATTATGTAACAACCTAATTGACATAAAAAATAAACTTCTTTGAAAATTAGAACCATAACGACAAGTAGGGGATAGGCACTCACAAAAAGGGAGCTAGTATCTATTAAAATTTTTTTGAACAATAAATATTAATAATAAAATCTAGGTACTACTATAGTCTATAGTTAATTATTACCATGATCCAATTAAATACTATTTAAAAATGTGAAAACGATTTTTATTTCAAAAAAAGTTTTTAAAATTTTTGCGCCCATAAATATACAATTAAGTTTAATTCAAAAATAATTTTTACACTACACTTAAATATGCAAATTTAGATGTCAAATAAAAATTGCCAAAAATACCAAAAAAAATTTAGTTTTTTTTTTTTTATATTTGAGAAACAAATTTATTTTTTAACTGTTACTAACGATTCTTAACATTTGGTTTATTTTAGGTCTGCTTTAAGATTACAGACTTCTTCAGAGTAAGCATTCTTTACTTCAAGGGTCTGAAAATGATAACCTATTACACAGAAATCAAAAAATATATTCATAGAGAACTAACAACTAGTTTCAGACTCCTACTAAAAAATTTTTAATTAAATACCTGTAGAATTTCTTTCAATTCTTTTTTACATTAACCCTTTCCAAATACATCAACTTGGAAAATTATCTTTAGACATGATTTAAATTTTGACAAATCTGTATCTGTAATCTGTTTAAGACTTAATTCAAACCAGACTTGAAATATTCTGAAACTTGTTCTGTTATTTCTCAAAAGAATAGACTATTCTGTATACAACGAAAATTGCATTTAGAAGGATTTGTGTCAACTTGACTTTAGAAGGCTTGACTGTTTACTCTGTATTCTGTTTACTTTAGCAGACTTGTATCAAACCTTTCTTTAACTCACTTGGTTCATGAACTAAAAATGAAGATAATTTACTTTAGGGGCTAAAATCAACAAGTCTTTAGGCTGATATCTTTGGCTTATCTTTATTTCAGAAAATTTTGTGAGCTTATTAGAACCAAATAAAAATAACCAACCCACTAAACAAAATTTTTTTAATTATCAAGGATTAACTTTAAATCAAAACTGGAAATGTTTAAAAACTAGATGGCTAAAACAAATTATCAGTGTTAAATTGCAACAAAAAATTTATCTTCCATTATATGTAATTATAGGATCTGAGTTATTTAATATAAAAATCTAATAATTGCTTAAAATATTGCCTTTTCAAAATCATGAAAAGGATATTGAACATAACAGAAGCCTCTTGGTTCACGAGTATAATAATCCAAAGGAATGTAGATGTCACGTATCGGACCATACTTTGCAAACATCCTTCTCAAGTCATCACTCCTACAAATAAAAATATTATTATTGTAGAGATAAAAATATATACTGTGAATATATGAAACTTAAAAAAAAAGGTTAGAGTCACACACACCAAACCTTCCTGTTAAATGTGTGCAATTGCATGCCTTGTTTGCCCACATTTAAAGTATTTTATTTAAACAACTTGACCATGTTTTTGTATACTAGGCATTTTAGGAATTTGCGGAAAAATAAAGCTCTAAGAAGAATTTAAAATTTTATAATTTTTGTAATAATAATAAAATAATAATTAAAAAACAACAACACTATTTTGCTGTTTTTTTTTTGAGGGCATTAGTTATTTTCCACTACCAAAATTAATATACTTTAAGATTCTTTCTTGAATTGAAGAAGATAATATAACAATAGATTCTTTCTTGAATTGAAGAAGATAATATAACAAAAGCAAAAGCATTTTTTTGAAATGCAATTTATTTGCGACTTTTGTCAGTCTATATGTTAAGGAAATACTTAATTGGCGCTAGAAATAAGGACAATAGACAAAAGACAACAAAAACTTGTTTTTCAAATGTTTTTGTTAAACTTTACTGATTTTATAAATGAAAAGCAAGAAAACTTATTGCTATTTATTTGTAAAACTTTTATTTTTTAACATTTAAAATAATAAATAATATATTAAGTTGTTTTCACTACCCTAATTGAAATAGTCTGCCCTTTAGTTGGATTTATCAAATTGTGCATTAAAACCAGATAGTTTATTTCCTTATGAACTATTGCTATTGACGCTCTAAGAGCTTGTGGGCTAGTGTATTGTTAATTTACTGAACTTTTTTTAAAAATAACAACCACCCTAAAAAAGTAAAAATGAAAAAATTGGAAAGGTGTATAAAAATTTTGTAAAAAAAATTTTCTTTTTTTAATTATTACATTTTTTAGTTTGATTAATTAAAGTTTAATATTTTGTTACAATTTTGTTTCCTTTTTTAAGTATTGGTTTCTCTTTTCTCAGAAGATAAGTTTTGCTTTTTGCTGTGAATTATTAAAATGCTTTAAAAGTCAACAAATGAAAACTGCCGTGGTCAATGTATCTAAATAAATTACTTTGAACACAGATTAACAAGGCGTGCGACCACAGGCGCTTCCTGGGAAGGTTTCCACACTATCAAATTCACAATCTACTTTATCTGAAAGGACCAAAAGAACCTTAATGCAGGCATTATATAGAGTACATTTACAGGTGTTTTTAAAATTGTTTAATTTTGTCTGTGCTAAATATTTGCAATGTAAACAAACTCCTCCCCAACTTAGAGGATAGTAAAGTTTACTTGGCCTCTAAAACCACTAAATGTTTTTTGATGAAATTCCAACCTTGTTAACAAACTTTGGTTTGATTTAAAAATCAAAAAACTTGTTTTCTCACTTCCACTAGATAAGGGGTCTAGAAACGGGAAAAAGCTAACAAGTATTTTTTTCCCTAACCTTTATTTACAATAAGCTTTCTAAAAAAAAACATTATCTATTGGTACTAGCATAAATATACAATGTTTAAAGTTAAAAAATTTTTGGAAGTTATTTCAAGCAAACACACAACAATTTTTCTTTTAATGAATGTATAGCATGTATGTGTCTAACAATTAAAAAAATTGCATCATTGATTTACTTTTAAAATTATGTTTAAAGTAAAAAATAATGTAACAAGTAAACATATTGTAAAAAAATCTTTTGAAATACTAAATTTAACAACAACCACCTTAGGAAAATAAAAACGAGCGAGTTTTTATCGAGTACGTGAACCTTCCCAAGAAATGCATGTGGTTTTTTGTCTTGTATGTCCACCAATGAGTATTTTATTATAGAAAACTTGGTCACTGCTGCGTGAAAGTTTTATTATATTAAGCGTTGCAGATAAAACCAAGTTTTAAAAACAAAGAAAGCAAAACTAACAAAACAGGAAATTAAAATTAATTCAAACAGAAAAAAAAAAAAAAAAAAAAAAAAATCAATTAAATAATTTCTGTAATGTTTTTATTTTTGTTTCTTTAGAGTGGTTGTAATTTTTTTAGCAACAAAATTGGATAAAACATGTACAAATAAAATAACTTTATTTAATAAAAAAAAATTCGAAAATTTTTTTATTAATTAAAGTGATTTATTTAAAAGGAAATTTTTTTTTTTTTTATCATGTTGACTTGTTTTTTTTTTTGTTTTTTTTATAATGCTTTATATTGTAAGTATACGCTTGTTTAGTTTATTTTGTTGTAGTGTTGTGTCATACACGTATGGTGGGATTTGAGCCACATGTCTGTGGCTCAAATCCCACAATCATCTATTTATTGAAATTGTTTTTCTTCATAACACCGCTGGTCATATATATTTGCTTTATTACCATTTATCTTTTCTTTTTTGTATATAAAAATTCTTTTGCTGAATGTTTAAGAATACTGGGCATCTCTTCAAATTTAGAGATCTTTTACTAATTAAGCCTTCAAGTGTATTTTTTAAGCTACACACACACATATTTAAATAGTTTTTAAGCTTTAATTAGGCCTTGCCGTCTATACATTTTTCACTTAACCTTAATTTTTTCATATTACATTCTATTCATGTACATTTTTTATCCCCAATCATAAAGTGCTTTGTAATTTTGAATACCTATTGCTTTTTAACATTTACCTCTGTGTGCATAAATCTACCTTCCTCTCCCATTTCGTCTACTATGTTATTGGTTAACAATTATTAATAATATTTGTTAGCAATTGTTCATGTAAATTTTACCAATTACATAGTAGACAAAAGAAAAAGGGAGTGGATAGAAAATTAAAAGCATTTGGTTAGTGGTGGGATTCAAACTAAAGACATTACATGAATGATGTCAAACGCACTATCCAAATAAGCTAAACATGCACATACTGATGAACAAATAAATATAATTTTATAATTAAAAGTTATCCATAAAAATTTACGCTTGTATCACATATTCATATATTTTGCTACATTAATTATACAAATATATTTTACAAACAGATAGCAATCTATATTTTTGATTTCCTCCTAAAAAACAAACAAGTAAAATATGGAAAAATCATTTTTTTAAATGTCGATTTCTTTTTAATGTCAAACTTTTTTTTTTGCTTTACCTTATACAATTTCATTGCTGAAAATAACAACTACCCTAAAGAAACAAAAATAAAAACAGTACAGAAATTATTTAAATTATCAATTTTTTTCTATTTTAATTCATTTTAATTCCTTATTTTGTTAGTTTTGCTTTCTTTGTTTTTAAACCTTTGTTTTTTATCAAGTTTTAAAAACAAAAAAAGTTTCATTATATTAATGCTTAATATAATGAAACTTGCAAACGGCAGTAACCAAGTTTTCTAGAATGAGTCATGGGGGGGACATAGAAGACGAAAAACTGCACGCATTTCCTGGGAAGGCTCGCATACAGTTTTTATTTTATTTTTTAGGGTGGTTGTTATTAAATTTAGTACTTCAAAAATCTTTTATTGCTACAAATAAACTTGTTACATTAACATTTATCACTCACATCCGGACTAAAAAACCAGTTACTTTAGTGGAACACAAACAACCATAGGAGCCTCAGGAAAAGAAGAAGAAAAGATTACATTAGAGTAAGAGCTAGCTAAAAATTATCAAAAGGTGTCCAATATAAAAGCACAAAATTCAAGCAAAGATTTATTACTAATAATTATTTACATATATTTCACTAATAACATAGTAGACCAAAAGGGAGGGGGCAGGTAGAAATAAGTGAACTGAGTCAAATGTTAAAAAGCAACAGGTATCCAAAATTTCTAAGCGCTAGAAGATTGAGGATAAAAATGTACAGGAATAGAAAGGTAATATGAAACAATAAAGGCTATGTGAAAAATGTGTGGACAGCACAACATAATTGAAGCTTAAAAATTATGCATATATATGTGAGTCTCAGTGTATTTTCTAAGTAAAGCTACTTAGAAAATACACTAAGAGGCTTCAATATTACTTTGAAATCATGAGAGGGTTAGGAAACATTTTTTTATTTCTTCTTAAGATGCTTTAATTAGGATATGTAGTGCATACAACATAAAATTACAAGAGATAACTAAAAAAAAAACTCTAAATTTTTAAATTTAAATAGGCTACTTTTTTTTAAATGTAGTTACAATCCTCTCTCAACTCTGAAACATGAACGTTGACAACCAACGCTGCTGAAAAGTTACGATAAAGTATGAGTAAAATTAATATATTTAATTTTAATAAATGCAGTTTATACCCATATATATATATATATATATATATATATATATATATATATATATATATATATATATATATATATTATTATTATATTATTATATTATATATATATATATATATATATATAATAATATATATATAATAATATATATATTGTTATACATATAATTATATTTATATATATAGTAAGAATATAAACATGTAAAATAACATGTGAGATAATTAAAGAATAAAAGTTAGTACCCACAGCATTCAATTTTGATTCACTTAAAATCAAGTCAGTTTTTTAAAGAAATCAATTAATAACTAAATTTACTTTGTTTTCATGACTATATAAAAGTTATCAATATTATGAAATGATTAGTGCAAACATTAAGGTATTAAGTCTTCACATAAAAAATTATTCACTTAATGATTCACCTTTATTATTAACGAGTTTGAACAGTAAATAGAAGACTTTTAAAATAAGTATTTAATAACTTTGACAACGTTAGCCAAGTTAAACTTCCTTTAGACAGACATTCTTTACAATATCATCAACACACAGACCTACCTCGTTGAAGAACTTAAATTTCGTATATAAAGAGATGTATTCGGTGGTCTTGCATAGCGATTACCAGACATAGTTATGGACTGCAAGCAGCTTGGCTCCGACAAAACTGACAACGTGCATCGAGGAAATATATCAAAAGGCTTAAATTTAAAAAAGTTAACGCCTAGTTGTCTTCTGAACTAAAATCTGTACTACCGTGTTGTCAACCACAAAACCACCAATTATTGCGAAAATGAAAAAAGGATCCTTTATAAATATTTTATTAATAATATAATATATTATGGATTGTTCATTAATTATGTCATCAAAATCTGAAAATTTTATTTAAATGTTTACTAGGGGTAGGGGGAACATCAAAAAAAGTTGACACCAACAAGGTTTTTTATATAAACTTTTTGAAATAAATTTTTTTTAAAAAAAAGGAACTGAAAAATAGTTTTTGATAAAAATTTTTATACTTATTATAAATAAGCAAATCTTTACTATAATGATATGATATATTGACAATTGAAAATTTTTTTGTTCTACTTGGTCGTGACTGTAAAAAAAAAAAAAAGTTCAGATGGATTGATCAGATTATTTCTGGATGAGAAATCAACAACGTGGTAGTTTAAATCAGAAGATTTTAAAACTTATGCAAAAAAAAATACTGGTCTCACCAAATTTGAAAGTTCACTTCATGTTTGAAAACTCAAACCAAATTTGAAAGTTCCTCCATGGGAAAGTTCACTATCCTCCATGGGAAAGTTCACTATCCTATGGGACAAGGAACTTTAAAAAAGAAAATGTTTTTCTAGGAAATAAAAGCCTTTAAAATAATTACAAATCACTTTTAGCTTTAAAACCTTTAGTAGGTAAACAATTTGCTAATAAATGTGGAATATATTCTTGTTTTATTTTCACTTGTATGTTTTTTTTACATGAATACATTTATCATGAATTTATCCTCCGCCAGCTAATTGCCTAACGGAGGCCACATTACCTAGGTCCGCAGAGACTTGTTTCGGCTCCTAAAGGAGCGTCATAAACCGCTCTACAGACCGAGAGTAAGGTGATTTTGGGTAGAACGAAAATATATTAGAGAAAAAGGCAAAAGTAGTTGTGTTAATAGCATAGAGAAAGCGGACAGATAATTGCACACGATGTTAGAGGGTGCAATGGTGCTGGTGCAAAGGTGCTGGTGCAATGGTGTTAGTCAAACCGACAAAGACTTGGAGAGTTCATTTTACATGAACTCTTCCTCGACTTTTCTTGACGCATTTTTAAAATGTAGCATTTTAAAACAAAAATTTTTTTTAATCAATAGCAAAATTGTGTTACAGCGCTGCAGTTTAATTGTAAATTGTTTATTTCAAATTGTGGTTTTAATTAAGGATGACGTAACACTTTCATAATTAGTCTTTTGTTCTTCATAAAACACTGTTAATCTTGTTTAATAGAAACTTAAAGTAAAATTACAACTGATCTTGTTTAAAGAAAACTAAATTAAATAAGACGCCTTGTAAAAGACTTTAATTTTTAATTGAGCAGTGCTGCTTTAAAATAAATATGCGTCATTGTCTCTAATTTTGCATAAAATACATGAATGTGGCAATATGTTCTCAGACAAAGCGTAGCACACAAAGAAAATGTTTATAAGTAACTAAATTTACACTTTAATCCCAGCGTTGTACTTTCTGTTAAACTATGTCCAGCAGTTATGATTTGTATGTAGTTACGTATGTAGTTATTGCACAAACTAACGTTGTTAGTTTGTGCAATCACTACATACGTTAGTTTTAAGTATTTTCGAAATTTTTTTAGAAATTTTAAAGACCAATCTGTCAAATTGGTTTCGAATAAAGAAGTTTGATTTTTTCACACGCATCAGGGAAGCTTGATCTTATCAAAAATGGATCCATAAACAAGGGAGGGGGAGGAGAATAAAGACGATTGCTCCCCCTCTCCCCATCGTTAGATATTTTAGAAAAAAATTTTTTTTTCTATATTTATATATTTAACAACGCACGTTGTTTGAAAACGGAAATAAGTTAGAGATGTTAATTGACAAAAAGTTTTAATAAAATTGTGCGATGCAAAAAAAAAATTAATGTGTAAAACATATGTTCTAAAAAATTTAACTAAAAATGTTTCATGGTTAGTGGCCTTGCCTGCTCACAAATCAAAAAACTTCCTCCTTCCTTCCTAGATCCACCAAATCAAAAAAACATGAAAATCGCCCCCTTACTTGATGCTCTGAATCCGCCGCTGAATCCCATACACATGTTTTTCAAAACTAACCTGTTTATTTTAGTGTTATTTTAATGTAAAGGGTGTAAATCGACTTTCCTTTTTAAAGTTTCGTTTTTCAACACTTTTCTCAATATTTTTCAGATGAGTATTAAAGTAGACACAAAAAATTATTTGTATAACCTTATTTATTTTAATTTAAAACATTATTTGTATAACCCGATTTATTTTAATCTGGAAATGGAGCTATTTATTGTTGGTCAAACTACTTTTTTTTGTTAAAAAGAATTTCACAAAATTAACGAAAGAACCTTTGCAATATTGATTCAGAGTAAGTTAAAAAATAAATTATAAAATGTTTTTTCCAAAAGTTAGTGTCATCGGCATAAATTTTATGAAACGATTTTATTTTATCTGTTAAGTCGTTTATATTGACTATTAATAATAATGGACCAAGTGCAGACCCTTGAGGAACTCCGCTTGAAACATCGGTCCAATCGCTATAGTGTTCACCTAAAACAACTCGCTGTTTTCTACAAATCAAAAATGACAAATATCATTTAAGAATATTGCCATTGATTCCATATGCTTTAATTTTATGAAGTAGTCTACGGTAAGAAACTTTACCAAACTTTACCTACGGTAAGAAACTTTACCAAACTTTTTCGCGAAGGCTAAAGATGCAATATCAATTAAATTTCTTTTAGCTGATGCTTTTGCAAATGTTGTCGGCACATTACATTAAGTTAGACGTGCATCCTTTTTTGGACATAAATCCGTGTTGTTTATGTGAGATGAACCTTATTTTTCAAGATATTTAGTTATATGTTTCCTGATAATCTTTTCCTTTACTTTACATGGAACTGACGTGATAAACACTGGTCTGTAATCAGCGGCATCGAGACAACTTTCTTTTTTAAACAATGATGTTATGTGTGACTGTTTCCAAGCCAGAGATGTTGAGCGTTCAGAAAATGCTTTATTGTAAATTAAAGTAAGAGATTAAGTAATTTGAGTAGCGCATTCTTTGAGTACCTTTGGACTAATGTTATCAACACCAATAGATTTATTTGGGTTCAAACCCTTTAAAATAAGCTAGCGTTGCTTTTAAATTAATAATTAAGTTGCCAAAATTTTCTTGATCATATCTTCTCTCAAAAACAGATTTAAAAAAATGACCTTCAACAAGAGTAATCAACTTATCTAGCTCTTTGCCAAACGGCAAAGAGCTAGATAAGTTGATTACTTTTGTTGAAGAGTCTGTAATAATTAAATCCAAATTTTTTTTTGCTTTTCCGTAAGATGTATCAAATGTTAAGGAATCAACTAATTGTTTTAGGATATGATCACCCAAACTATTAAGAAACACTTGCCGCAGAATTTTGACTGCTTAGTAATTCAATCCTGTTGTCATCGTGCTATTTGATATCCGGAAACTTGAAATCACCTGCTGGTATCATACAACTATACGCTTTTCTATTAACAGTTTGCTAAGCCAAAATAATTGTTTTATTTGTATCATATATACGTATGCGGTAAAGGTGGTCTATAGACACAACCGTATGAACAATATTCGTTACCTATTTTAATTTCAAACCATATTTTCAATTGAATGGCAGATATTTCAGTAAACCATGTCTCAGAGATAAAGATCAAATCAGGCATGTTTATAAGATGCTTATTTAAAGCACATTTTAAATTTGAATATGTGTAACGTAAGTTAAAACTTTATGAACTAATCTAAAAATTTTTGCGATCTTTGAAAAACGTTTTTATTATTTACGCAACATTAAAAATGTATTTAAAGTTTGCTCTATAAAAACTGTTTTTGGTTCCGTAACTTTCATCAATTTTAATAAAATTTTCTGAGTGAAAAAGCACCAGATTATTTAAACTTGATTTAAAAATGAATGAATGAAATTTCTATAACATTAATGTTATAGAAATAAAAAATTTGATACTCCATCAACAAACTACTAATATTGCTTCGAAACAACGACTTATAACAGTTATTTATAAACATTTTTTTAATATAAAATAAATGATTATATTTAAGGCAAATATAAAATAAATGATTATATTTAAGGCAAATTAAATAAACTATTGAAACTACTAGACGTTTATATAACGAAAATCATATTTTAAAAGACGTTCTTTAGAGAGAAAGAAAAGCAATTTTTACCGTTCTTATACCCAACAAACATTTTTAAAATGGTTTTGTAGTTGTACTATAGAAGTATTTTGAACGGTTTATTGGAGTTCTGCTTAACATTTAGTTAATAGACCAGTAGTGGTATCCGCTACAAGTTGCCAGCTAAAAACTTTTCAACATGTGATATAGTGATTAATCTTTGGCTAAACACTTTTGGCGGCTTCGTCTAATTGTCTACTAAGTAACCAATGATTAAAAACTTCAATTTTTAGCTCAAAATGCTTATATAAGTAGATTGCAAAATGGTAGGTCTACAGAAAGTCAAATAGAGAATGTTTGCTGTGTAGAGTTATATATGTAAACTAGACCAATCGGTTTTGATCTAGCCTTTTAAATTGACTAAATTTACCTCTTATAAGAAAAACACATTATATATGAAGACAAGCAAACAGTTTCCTACTCCTTTGATATATAATGCGGTATATAATGCTCTCTACCCATAAACATTGTTTTAGTGGACTTGTTGTGAACCTATATAAGCATTTTGTGCAGTTCATTGGAGTTTTGCTTATTGGTTACTTAGTGGACCATTAGTGGTATTCGCTATAAATGGCAACCGATAACTTTCCGACATGTTAATAGTGGCTAGTCATCGGCTAGGACATTTATTGGCTTCCACTAACGGTCCACTGAGTAACCGAAAAGCAAAACTGCAGTAGACCACTCAAAAGGCTTATAGGGAAAAGCGGGGCAACATAGCGAACGTTTTGAAAGCC